TTACACATTGGTCTTCAGGGTAATTTATCCCTCAAAATTTAGAATTTATTTATAATTTATAGCCCACCCACTTCCAAAGAAGGATTTGAGACAGCAAAAGTTGGAATAAGCATCCAAGAACATTAAATCTGGGATTAGTAGATTCTCAAAGTCCTGAACTTTCAAGTCCTGAAAGTAATTTAGTAAAACGTGAAAATAAATAGTTTTGTTAAAGATTTTCCCCTCAAATGTGTAAACAGTAAAGAGGGAATAGAAAAAGTATTCTTTCATTTTTTTTTTTAAACATCACTATCCTATAGTATTTTTAAGTGAAAGAAAGCCTAATTTCTTTAAATTATGCTGGGGACAGAAAGTTGGAAGGAGAAAGCAGAAATCCACGACCAAAAATGAAGTCCTAGAAATCTTTAGAACTCCATGTTATTTTAATATGATCGTACTATCAATTTCAATTAATTTCCATGATGACTCAAAGCCCTCAGTCAATATTATAAGAGCTGATTGGTAGCCGAGATCAGAGCAATGCATTTTCTATGTTACGTGCCATCACCAGCTTTTCAGCTTCCAGGACTGGAACCAGATGCCCATTATTTCAGGAATACATAGGACGCAAACTACCAAACAGTATCTGATGAAGGAAAACATATTTACAGAGCTCCAGAAGCTCCTGAACTGCTGTTCCAGGCCCTGTTCAAAATGAGTGCTTTTCAGTAAACTAAGCAGTTAGAACGAGGGATAAAATTGTGCAGAAGTATCACAGACAACATACTGCTGCTTCAGAGCCCATTCCAGAAAATCCCAGTACTTGGTCTGCATGATTAGTGAGGGTCCCAGCTCTTCATACTCTGATGGATACCTCAGCCTGCGAGGCAGCGTGGAGTCTGGCTGCTCTCCAGGACTGCAGTTTCAGCAAAAATACCCTTCAAAACTCAGTTTGGTTGGGACTTACCACAGGCTTTGGTTTGGAACTTTCCAGTAATGCCCAAAATAATTCGACCTGAGACACACTGGCCGACCACCACCACTGATGCTGGGGAGGACTGTCTGAAAGCAGACTGAGGCTTCCTGGGCTGACCACCCAGAAGAGTGAGGGGAGCAGAACAGGAGAAATGGATGGAAGAGGGGGTGGGCAAAGAGAGAGCGGGCACAGGAACGGGTTGGTCAGGGCGGGCAGAGCCTTAAGGAAACGCTTTAGCAAGCAGGCACGCACGTCCTCCTGATGGAAGACTACACCACCACCGACCAAGTATTCTTGCCAAAAAATTAAACAGCAATTTGACCAAGCCTCTAGAGTTAGCTACCTTTTCACGGGAAACGTGGAAGACAAAAGAACGAGTTAAAGGACACCACAGGGATGCAGTCACTGAAGTACAGACCACAGAAAACTCTAGAGGACACACTGGTCCTTGAAACAAATACACTGCATTAAAATTTTTTTGTAAGAAATTTGGAAAGGGAGGGAAAACCTATAGGTTAAAATGCATTGACCTTATGTGATTCCGGATTTAAACAAACTGAAAGAGAGAGAGAGAGAAGAGAAATACTTATTGTCTTAAATGGTGTTAAGCCACTAACTTTGAGTAACTTGGTTCTCAGCAATTCATACCAATCCAGAAATCCACACTGAAGAAAACGCCTCAAGGGTGAGGTGTAACGAAAAGAGGGGTCGATGTGGATTCAGACAGACTTGGGCTCGAATTTGGGATCCACCACTTGCTAAAGCTGGGACTGTGAGTTGGCCTCTCTGTGAAAAGCTGGAGCCTTTCCATGTGAAACAGAGATAAAAATGACGAAAAATGCCTGGGGTGATTGTAAGGAGTTACAGAGAGAACACGTGAATAGGTGCTCAGCAGGTCGCCTTGCACGGAATACACAAAAAGTCGAAGAGGAGCTCTGATCTGTATAATTGCTGTTAGCAGTGCTCATTCGGAAACGACTCAGTCCTCACCCCGTGCCACACCAGCCAGCCCCGGCCCCTCCAGAGTAAAGGAGGAAGAAGAGATCCCAGAAGAGGCTGAATCCACATCCCCTCCGGGAGAAGGCGGACAGAGGGCGGCCCGGCCCTTCAATGAGCTAGATCTTCCAACAAGGTTTCCATTTGCATCTGTTTCTACCTCTTTCGGTCTCGGGCTGCACACGCTGCTGCCCATCCCGGTACGGGGAGACACACCTGGGCTGGGGCATCAACCGAGGGGATACACCAGGTAAAAAGAGCCTGATCGTACTTCTGGTGTGCTCGCAGGCAGGCTTCAGAACGGAATTCCACGTGGTAGCATCCACATGGAATTTCAGTGTCAGAGTTTCTCTTCACCTCAGGCCAACGGCATCTAAAGGGATGGGTTCGGAACTGGCAGCCTTTCTTTCATTCGTCATTATGTTTTACACACAGGGAAATTTTGATGCCGAAAGATGGGAGGGGACGATGAGCAGAGAGTGACACGTGTTTTTACGGCAGCTCAGTCAGCAGCACTTAAACTCACTTCTGACACTTCTCAGAATCTACAGACCTGGAAGGACTGAACTGTCATCTGCCTATCCAGGAGAGATTTCACTTTGGCAGTGTTTCAAAAGGAAAGTCGCTCGCGTCTTTTATGCGTATTTTCACTACCACGCTATTTCTCTAAGCCCATGAAAAATGCTGGACTCTCGAGAGACGGATAAAAGGAGGTTTGTGGTACAGGGTTGGCTAAGAGGAAAATCGCCTTTGTTTCTGAACCTAGGAGTACAAAAATTCAGAGTCGTTTGCTAAAATCTAGAATTAGGGCAAAATGGCTGCTAGCTTTCCTCCAAGAGTTTGGGCTTGTTGATTACAGAAGGCAGTTGGATTTGATGATTTCTGAATTACTTAACGGTTAAAAACTAATGGTCCCGTTAAGACTTGGAAGATAGTCCTATTATGTAACAGTTGGCTCTCCTCGGCTAAATGGTTCCCGTCCAACGTGGTCTGAAACCAGGACTGGAGAAAGCATGAAGAGGCAGTGCAGCTCAGCTCCCACTAGAGCAGCATGGTGTCAAGGAGAAAGAGGAGAGTCACAACGGAGGAAAATCCTACATCTGCCACCAACCTGCCAAGTGACCCTGTGAAAGTCACTCAGTTTCTCTGATCTCGGTTTCTGGCACATTAAGAACGACAGACAGTGCAGCGTGGTGGTTGAGGAGGGGGGCCCAGGAATGCCCGACTGCACGGGATCTCAGCCCCTCTGCTTCCTGGCCACGTGCCTTCAGATAACTCACCCTCCCTGGTCTCATTTTCCTCATCTGTGTAATAGACATAATGACAGCACCCACCCCGAGGGTTGCTTTGAGAATTAAATCAGAAAAAGCATGCAAAGGGTTCTGGGTATGGGGCTCATAATAGGCACTCAATAAATGAGCTGTTACTGCTGCTACGGTGGTGGTTATTATTATTCACTCCCAAACAACCACAGAAATACAAGGTTGAGGAGAGTCCGTCACTAGCAGGAAAACACTGCCTGCTTGCTGGCCACTGAGACAATGGCTCGTGTGAGGTAAACTGGGCTTCTGCCGGCCACCACTCTCTTCCCAGAGCCGAGAAGAGAGCTGGGGCTTTGGAGGCATGCGTTAAATGCCTGTTAAGTGAATGAACAAGCGGATAAATGAATCAGGAAGGGATAAAAAAGCAAATGTCTTAAGAGCTACTGCTCTATCCTGAAGAGAGGATCTCCGAGACCACTGGCACGGCTCGCAGCTACCAAACGCTGCTGACAGCGCACGCAGTAGGGCTCGCCTAGGTCTGCTGGCTGCGTGGGGACGGTACCCAACTGTTCGTAGGAGCGCAGGGCCGGCACCTAAGGGGATGGTGCAGCTCCCACTGCAGACTCTGAGTTCACATTTCAACCTCAAGTACTCAGGCTACGGGATTGCTCCAGAAAGGGCTTTAGAGAACAGACTTCTCAACAGTCTAAAACAACAGAGTGAAAGACTAAGGGAGAAATAAGAAGAACTGGCTACTGGACAGCACTGAGGGGTCAGATCTGAATATCTGGTTTAAGATACCTCCCCTTACATCCATCATCTGCGTGGAGAACTATAAAACCAACGACCCCGACAGAGGCGAACCCCCAGACGGTTTGTCATTTTATCAGTGTTCTCCGAATTCAGCCACTCGGTGCCCCTTTTGGAACTGTTTTTATCCTTGGCACCTCCTGTACCATCATTAACTTAATCCCTGTGTTTAAATCAACTCACTGAAAAAGAAAAATTAAATGAAGTTATTTGTTAAAGAAACTTAAACCACTGTGTTAAACGAGAAACCAGTATTGCCTGCCCTAAATAATATGAGGGGACTGTAAAAATAAACACTTGGAAACAAAATATTGTAATGAAAATGAAGCTAACCACCACTGCTCTCCTCAGCTCTGGCTCTGAGGGCTGCTCTGTTAGAGAGAAGTTGGCAGGGATGGCAAAAAAGTCTGCCGGTCCCTAGCGAAGGCTCCCTCCTTCAGGCATTTTGAAAGTCCGAGAAAGATGAGGGAGTGAAAAGGAGGAAGTTTCTCGTGATGTGCGTCCACGCTTTTGGAACCACATTCACGCACCACGTAAATTGCCGCAGGTTTGCGAAACAGCAGAACCTTCTCCTCGTGCTCTGACGCTCAGCCCCCTTGCAGGACTGGAGAGCCGAACTTACTTGTTTCCAAGTGCAATTAAAATACACTTTTCCTCGGTTCTGGGAGGCACTGCAAAAATATCTGTAATCAGGATGCAGCTTACAGTCGGGTGGCTTTTAGGAGCCACTTTTACTGCTGCTTAGTACCGTCTTTCCCTTTTTCTCTGGGCTGTTATGAGATTGATGACGCATCTCAAAATGAGGGTGACTCAGAGTCAAGAAAATACGGTACACCTTCCCTGGGCCAATATAAATGAGCCTCCCTTCTGGACGCCAAGACAACACAATAGCCTTCCGGCCTCCCCATTGTGTTCATCTGATAAAGACATTACAATACAAGCTATTATGATCTATAACCCTCCACTGGAACACTCACACATTCTTGGCCTTGAACGCTTGAGCAAAATGCTGCACGCTATGGAGCAGAGCGAGGTCCAGGGTCATTGCTTCTACCTTGGCTTTATGCTGGAATGAGAGAAAATAAAAAGAAATGATAAATAACAGCAAGTTTAGTTCATGGTATCAAGTTACAGTAAATGTGTTATGGAACATGTCGGAATTCCCCTGTTTAATATTAGACGCCCAGAGAGAATATAAATCATCGGAATGAATGGAAGAACGGGGCGTTTTACTGCCAAGTTGAGGGAGGATGGGAGGCTGGGACTCTGCTGAAACTCCATGCTGGGGGGCTGTGCTGTTTGACTCAGCGCACGAAACGGGGTCCTAAGGGTCCTCGGGCTCACACAGCTCCTCTCCATCTGCCTCCTAAAAAAACTGTAATGATAGGGCAACACCAGGACAAAGCCTGGCTCCTGCAAGAACTCCGGAGACCACGTGTTAATCTCAAAAGCTGCCCTCCGGTTCTGAAAGGATTCCACCAAGCCTGCATGAAAAATGAGAGACAATTCATGTACAGAAAGTACAAACGCAGGCAAAACTCGTTTATATCAACGGAGCCTGACTGCTCAACACCTCCCTGGTTTAGTAACCCTGTGAACCCTATAGATGGGCAGGGCACATATGGATGGAATAATGATGCTATTAATGAGGCCATTAATGTCTATGCTGAGCCGATGGTGGGTGGGCACTTACAGGCGTCATCTCATTTCATCCTCAGGACAACTGAAGGATACGTTTGTAGTTTGCCTGTTTTACAGTGTGGCATCTTATAAGAGATTGCAGAGCTAAGAAGTGTGGACGGCAAGACTTCAAGTCAGTCTGACACTGGCTGGAGCCCAAGTTCCCTCCTGGAGAGACACCAAAAGGACTGCAGCGGTCAGGATTTGAAGCCACCCTGTTCCACTGCAGGGCCTCCTAGCACACTTCTGGAAAGATCAGAGTTGCCTTGTATTTACAGAGCTCTCCCAATTTTTGAGTCTCGCTGGACTTCGGAGTGTGAGCTGAAATGTTATCACTTCTTAGACGTCCCTCCGCTGAAGGACAGACTGCCAGGCCACCTGCCTGTTCAGGTAAGCAGATCCCCATAAAACGAACGGTGAGCTTGGGAATTCTTGTCTAGACTGCGATGTTAAAGTAAGACTGTGGAGACTAACACAATACTAGAATATTATGAAGGGGGATGCGAACGGCACTGCTGGGGACATCCTCCACCCGAACGGATGCAAACTGTGCTGAGAAGCTTCGTGTGTCTACGGCAGTTCGCCTCTGCCGCCTAGGTCCTGGGCTCCGACCCAAGTCCCGGGCCTTGAACAATACATATCAGGCCGAGGCAGCAGGAAAGCACACTGACTTTGGGCCCTGTAACCTTTCTGAGCCTCAGTTCCCTCATCTGTAAATGTGAATATTATCTACTCTCAGCGTTGTGAGATTAAGTATAAAGCATCTAACATCCCGCCTTGAAGACACAAAGTATTTCATCAGTTTAACCAGGAGGAGATAAGATGCCCGTGGTGACAAATTCTTCCCCTGAGGCCACTGTGTAGTAAACCGTGGTTTGGGTGGGCAACAGTGCAGCAAGGTGGATGAAACGATGTTGATGACAAGCACCGGTGCCCCCCGAAGACCACATCGGACCAGATCACTGTTGGCTCCTGGAGGATCCAGGTCCTGCCCACTAACAGAGCCCAGTTTTAGGGAAAGGGTGTAGGGAGGGATTCAATGACCTCCCCAAACCCCAAGAGCTTATCAGTGGCAAAGGCAAGCTGGCCAAAGAAGATTTAAATTCCTCAGGTAACAGCAGCAGATGCTCAAACCTGCAGATTTTGGAAGACGGAGAAGTGTTTAACCTGACGCAGGAAAAGGGCAAGAGCCAACACATGGGTTTTGTTTTTTTTTTTTTGCGGTTCGTGGGCCTCTCACTGCCACAGCCTCTCCCGCTGTGGAGCACAGGCTCCGGACGCGCAGGCTCAGCGGCCATGGCTCACGGGCCCAGCCGCTCCGCGGCATGTGGGATCTTCCCGGACCGGGGCACAAACCCGTGTCCCCTACATCGGCAGGCGGACTCTCAACCACTGCGCCACCAGGGAAGCCCCAACACATGGGTTTTGTTAGGGAAGTATTGCACCTGGAGGGTCCAGGTAAGGCAAGGCCACGCCCCTCATCCTACAGGGAGGGAAACTGCCCCCAGGAGAAGAGGATGCACTTGAGTGATACTGTACCCCATGCAGAGCGCTTGGGTCTCCAGATGGGGAGCAACCCACCCCCCCGCTTTCTGTCTGCATGACGGATATTTATCTGTGGCTAAAACCTCTTCTGAGTGGGAAGTCTGCTAATGGCTAACTTGTCTTCCCCATAGATTCTTATGCCTCCTAAATGCGCAACTCCCCAATCTGATGTTCCGAGTGAGCGAGTAAAGTGGCCTTTCGCCCTCATCCTGCCCGCTCCGGCCCCAGCCTCTCCCGGCACGCACCGCCAACACAGAATCTTACAGAACTTTGAATGGATCACAAGAGGAAAGTCAACTATTTCATCTACTAAGGAAGGGGTGGTAAAGACATTGCTCCTCTCAGCCGAGCCCCCAATGGAAACCCCAAGGGATACACTGGCTACATATTAGAAAAATGGATGTTCATTCTTCCCCCATAAAACAGGGAGAACATTCCCAGATGGTGACCCCAAAGCAATATTTCCAATGAAAATGATGACGCAGCCCAATGGGCCAGTACGTTCTTCTAAATGTGCAACTTACACGTGGTAAACTGTCTTCTGGTCCTCCCCCGTCACTTGAAGATAAAGCACAGGGCTGCCACTACCAATAAGAACAAAATCAGACCATACACATCCAGGGGGAACAAGGGGTCACAAGCCATCAAGTAGTTCAACAGACTAATCCACAGGCTGTGTGTTACTAGGCTCCTGGGGACAGTGATTCATGTCCACATGCAATTACTCAGGTAATTCTCCTGCCCTCGGTATCAGGTTTCCTGTTTCTGCTACTGACCCTGAGAAATGCAGAGAAACTGTGTGCGCAATTCAGTTAAGTCCAGTGAAGGAAAAACACAGCTTTTAGAATTAAGGTGTGTGTATGCGTTGATGTGTGTGGGTTGGGGGGTTTGCTCCTCCGACTGGCAGACAAACTTAACGTGATAGAAATGTTTATCGTGGGACATGCTCTAAATGAGAAGGCAGGGGCTGACGGACTGCAGACAGAAAGCATTTCTGAGGGATAAGCTGCTGACTGCTAGGTGAAAGCTCGAGGCCCCATCTGCCAAGGTGAGCTTTCCCGCTGAGTCTGACTATGAACCTGGGACTGGCCACAGTTCACTATCTTGGTATAACTCACTTTTGCTGCTGTTGTTGTCGTTAACTTTAATTTGGAACGAATTATAGACTCACAGGAAGTGGCAAAAATAGTAGTGAGAGTGCCCACGTACCCGTCTCCTAGCATCCGCCAAAGGGGGCATCTTACCCAAGTATAGCACATTATCAAAATTAGAAAATCGACACTGTCACAGTGTAATTTATTAGACCGCAGACATTACTTGGATTTCACCAGTTCTGGGACGCACTCAGTTCCTTTTACTTGGAATAACTGCGTGTATAATTCTACGACATTTTATCACGTGCACAGATTCAAGATACAGAACTATTCCGTCACCACTAAAGGACAGTTGAGGTTTTTCTTAAGATGTTAAATCTGCGTATGCCGCTCAGGATGTGAAAAGTTCAGGCCTGTTTGGCCAGCGTGTGCTCTCTGGATTGGCAACAGATGCCCATACACAAAGTCCTAGCTTAAAACGCTTTTGTAGCTTGGAATGGCCAACAAGATACGCTCCTAATTCCTTAGTGTGGCTCACACAAGTGCCTCCGTATTGATCAGGATGAGCTTCAGTAAGGAACAGCCCCCAAACCTCAATGTCTTAAGACAACAGACGATTATTACGTGCTCACGCTTCACGCCCATCTTAGGTCAGTGGGGTCCTGTTTATTGTTGCTGGCCAGGGGCCCCATCAGGTGGAGCCTCCTCCCTCTGTAGCATCACCAGTCTCTACAGTGCGGGGAAGAGAATGTGACAAGGTGCGCGTGGAATGTCACAGGCTTCCACCCAGTGGTGACACGTGTCACTTGTGCTCACGTTTTGTTGGCAGAGTAAGTGTCGTGGCTGTGTTTAGCTTCGAAAAGGTCTAACCCTCCATATGCCCAGCGAGAACAGAAATGCAAACATATGCACAATGAATAACAGTAACGACTAACACTCAGTCCATGATTTTGCCCCGTCTACCTCTCTAGGCTCATTTCAGGCCACTTCCTGCTTCATACTTTCCATTAGTGATAGAAAAATTTAGACATGACAGATGAACGTGGCCAAAAGAAAGCATCTATAATCCCACCACCCCCATATTAACTGTTAGCTTTCCAAAGGTCCCTCCCCTCTTCCCTTCCTCTCTACCTATCCATCTATCCAGCCAGCCGGCCAACCGTCCATCCACTTAGCTTTGGTTAACAGAAACAACTTCTTACTAGAACTTTGAATCTTAAAATGCTATAAAATGCCTCTCTCAACCCTTCCCCAGATTCTCACCCTTTTCTTTAATCACACCAGTACACAAATTTATCATCTCAGGCAAAATAGGAATGTAAATTTATTTTCAATTATGTATACAGATGCTGGCGCCCATCGCTTTCAAAGAGAGCTGCACAGGTGGCATTCCACACACGAAGCACCAGGCAACGCCAAAGTCGTTGAGAAGCCCACCTGCTCCCAACACCCCAGGCTCAGCCAGAAAGACACAGGAATGAAGCAACCCACACGCTCGCCTTCCATTTCCCTGGAAGTCAGGGGACGCTCGGTGGCAGCGCAGTCCACCCACACTCTCAACAGACCACGTCTTCTTGGTTTGTTCTTTATTAAGTTCAGAAAACCCGGCTTAGTGATTCAGGAGTCTGCAAATGCAGAATCAAAGGGGTGCCTGCTGTTGTTATGTAACAGTGATCTCTCATACCGTTTTACGACTATAAATTAGCCGAGTATGACTCAGATGCGATACTGCCTGAAACCAAAGGAA